ATAAGCTGTTGGAGTAATATGGTACTCATCCTGTTCTATAATAATAAATAAAATGGCACATATTTCAAAAAAAAAAAAAAAAACCTTTCACTATTTCTCTTAGTGGAAGACCAATCACGAATGTGACTATGATTTTTTCTTTCTCACACTCAGATGAAAAATGTAATTGTTTTTAAAAGTAGGGATTTATGTATTATTGTTTAGATTATACATTAAAAATATAATTTTTGTATTATAATTTACATTATATTTTAAAAGAGCAGAACATCTTATGAATTTATTAAAAAAACCTAATTGAAGTAATGTAAAAAATAATTTTATTGAGTAATTTAGTAAATTTATAAGGTAAATTGTACTTTATAAAACACCTTTTTTTATTAAAAGTAATTGTTTTTCTTTTTCTCTTTTTCCATTCGTTTTGTTACAACAACCATATATAGTGATTTTTTTTTTCTTTGCATACACTAATTTAATCAGTTATGCATGTGTATGGGGTTGTTCTAGAAATTTTAATTTCCTAGTCTTTACAGATGCTTAAATGGGAACTCAAATATAGAACAATGTTCACACCTAAACTTTATTTTGTTTAAAAGACATATCTTTTTATGAGTGCTGGCTAACTTTTGACATAGTTTATGAACGTGGCAGACCCTATTGAAGATGCTCCTCTTGATTAAGTGTCAATCAGTCTAAATAACTTTCTCTTTTTCGCTTAATAAAAGACCAAGTTAGTTATGCATATATATCCAGGTGAAATTGGATTGAATTAAGTCTAATTTATTTCCTCTCACCACGGCTTCACCTACCTAGTTAATTAATAAAAAAACAGACCAGCGGAAGGCGGTTGATGAAATTGGAATCTAAGTCTCTTTATTTTTTGTTTCCCCCTTAGATTTTGTGTTTAAAACAACTTTTCTAGATACAATCTTCCCACTTGATAAACATAATTTTTACGCTTTTGTCTTTTATAAAAGTTGATTTTAGTCTCTAAAACACGCCAATAGCTATGTGGAGAATTTTGTGACTTCCACAAAGCTTTTACTGTTATATTTTGAAATTTGATAAATTTTATAAAAGTTTTAAGAGTAAGGATCAACTTTTAAGATAGACAAAAGCATAGAAAAATTGTATTTATACAGTTTACAATTATTTTTATGGTGCAAATTGCGAACAATATATCATTCTAAGCTATGACAATAAACAAAAAAAAAAAATGCTGATAAATTAAGGATGTTTGAAGATTCATTATCTTTCGTGAAGTAAGCTTTTCAATTTCCATTATAATTCTATTTTGAATAAAGAATAATCATAGTCAAGCAATTAGATACTTACGCAAAAACAATCCAACCATGCGAATTGATCTCCTTTTATTTATTTTTTTAATTCTTGATATTGTTTTTTATGATCAATTCTGTAATTTAATTAGTCTACATTCAGAAAAGAAAAAAAAAAGAAAAGAAAAAAACACAAACCACACAAAACAAAACAAAAAAACAAGAACAAAAACTGTAATTCAGTATTTGGATTTTTGCCCATTTATTGAATGCTTTTGATCCATGTTCCAAATTGGGCTTATTTTACCCCAAACAATTTGGGCCGATTTAACAACAAAGGAAACCCAGCCCACGAGTACTTCCATATTCGTGGACGTCTCTCAGAACCGTAGCGGCTCACTCTAGTTTTTTCTGCAAGTGCAATGCAATGGAAGACCTGTTGTGTTACACGTAGTTCATAGCCGGTAGTCGGCCGAAGGAGGTAGATGAAGTGCTCAAGTAGAATGAGTCCCCCGTAGATTCAAAATGAAGGCGATTCTCTCTGTAAAATTACACCCTGTTGGAATAGGCCCAACGCCCAAACAGGACTATGCATAACGGGCCTAGAGTACCACCTATTAGCCCAAGCTGAAGGAGCATCGGTACAAGCATACCCACGTGACCA